GATGCGAACACCCTCACTGGGCAATCGATTTCGCTTGCTATCGACGGGAATAATTTTATCTTTAAGAGGACAAAATTTGATGAATATGCCAAAGCTTGACTTGGAACGAATTGAGTCGACAGCCAATGTTGTTGTTATTGTGGGGTTTAACGCCATTTTCAGCACAAGATAGGCTATACATGGCGAACAGTATCAGTGGTGGAGGAAGAAACCGGAAAAGAACCTGGAAAGCACCACCAAACCACGAGAAGCTACTGGCATGCTTTCTCACGTACCCACATTGGCCGAGCCGAGATCCGAACCCACGCATACAGAGGTGAGACGGAAGTGATCCCTAACAGTGAGCGCTTTAGACCACTTGGACACTCGGGATTCCTTCGACAATCATTAACCAGCGAAGAGTATGTGCGAGTGAGTGCTTTTATTTTTAACGTAGCTTTAACAGTTTTTTTTTTTTTTTTTTTTAAAGCCATACGCTACGTTTGCAGTGTGGCAGTTTTTGTTTAGCGATATCGAAGACTGGAGCATGATGTCCCTAACCGTGGTGTCAGGATAATGTGACTCGGTGGGACATCATGCTACATGTCTGCGGCAAGATATCCCACTGCTATAAACTGTCATACTGCATACATCTTAGCGATATGACTAACAAAGAAAGTTAAATTCCAAATCTCTCTCTCTCTCTCTCTCTCTCTCTCTCTCTCTCTCTCTCTCTCTCTCTCTCTCTCTCTCTCTCTCTCTCTCACACACACACACACACACACACACACACACACCACTGTTTTTTGTCCCATGTATAATGCGGAATCATTGCCAACTGCGCTAACACAGATTTGGCGTCGCAGCATGCGTTAGTAGAACCGGCCTCAACGCGTTCGTTTGATATAATCGGTAGAATCAATAGCGTGGACAATGACTTGCTATTATAACATTTGAACGCAGAGCCTTTCTTGGACCCGGTACGCATTAAAATGCAAAGGAATTCTACAGAAGCAGGACGAAATGCTTGAAACAAATCTTAGATCAACTTATAAGAACGGTTACGATGCAATAAGGTAATATGCTTACGTTTTGCCGCTTTCAAATTAACCGGAAATGACAGAACCTTACAACAATCAGGTATGTTTGTCTGTATGTTTGTGATAGTAAGAGTATGTTTGTGAATGTGTGCGCACCCCTACCCATTTCGCTCTTTTCACTTCATTTGTGAAAGTATATATGTATGTTTTCGCATATAGTTTGTCACCGAAAAGACCAAACCTTTTCTAGTGTGATAAAAATATTACGTTTGTGCATATTTAAGCAGCTCTACTCCTTTTCTCTTCTTACAATTGCTCCTGTGGACTATGGTTAAAGAGTCCGCCTCGGAAGCGGGAGGTCGTGGGTTCGATCATCGGTCGAGTCATACCAAAGACTTACAAAAATAGTACTAACAGCTTCCTCGCTTGGCGCTCAGCATTAAGAGGTTAGTGTTAGGACTTGTCGGCCTGATATCAGGATAATGTGACTGGGTGGGACATCATGCTACATGTCTGCGGCATGATGCCCCAGTGCTAGACATCACTATGAACTGCCACACATCTAACGATATGACTGAAAAATTGTTAAAGCTGCGTTAAAAATCATAATTACATCACATTATCTTCTTACACTTCACTACTGGAGTTTAAGTGTGGTAGATTTATTTGTGAGGGGATGAGAGGCAATGTATGAGAAGATTGGGCGAGTAGGGAAATTTTTGTTTTGTTCACACGGGTTGTCACTTTTATTTTAGCCCACTTCTTTTACATTATACCTGTTGTATTAATAAGTGTATATGTTGGTGAGTAGATGACTGGCTTTTGGGAAGCCTATCAGTGTCCAAGTGTATGTTAAACCTAAGTAGATATATAAACTTAACTTTTCCCTTGTCGCCATATTGTCATTTTTTCACCGAAAACAAAAACATTTATGGCAACAAGGTGAAATTGTATTTCTTAATTTTAACATTGCGTTTTCCGTTGTCACCAAAGTGCCATACTAATATCAAATTCCCAATATCGTCATTTGATATTTCATTTTTTCTCGTTTGTGTCACCCGTCCAATATGGCGGTAGCATTATTCATCTTTATCGCAATCGCGCCACACGATACTACTAACGCTGAAGGCCATACCTAAATTTCATTCCAAGGCAAGAAGTCTCGAGGACTGACATCAGAGTAGACCCAACAGTTATCGCGACCTACAAAATAGCCAAGTTACAATTTGGGTTGTCCGACATTACCTAAGTTTATATCTCTCCTGTTTTCTCAGCCCCCATCCCCATTAAACTAGCTAAATACGTTTTTTTTTTTTCACTACAGAAATTGACAGGAAGCTTACAATCCTGATGACATCTGTCTTTGTTTGTTCCTTGACGATTCTTCATTTTGTGTATATATCAATATCGTGTAAATACGTTTATATTGAAAGGACATTATATTAGCACAATTAGACTATAGACAAGTTGTATATTTAAAGCTGAGTAAATCTTACAGTATTTCAAGCACCTTTTTCGTGTCAAAGAGTCTGTTTATAACTTCTTTATTTTGTTCTCCATGCACAGTGTTACGTTTCCTAAGAACACGCCTAAGGTCCTGAATAAGGAGCGGAAGGAGTGTAAATGCATAATTGAGTCATTTGATTGTTGAATTTTATTAAATTGTTATTCATTGGATTTCAACCTTTTTGTATATTTAACAATCTAACTGTCGGCATTGCTGATTGGGTGCTCGGAGCTTTACATCTATCTTTCACTAAATTTAACTCCCAACTTTATAGAGTCTGGGTGGGACGTGTATGATATATTAAATACCCCCCCCACCATAAAAACCCCTCACAAATAACTTTAAATTGTCCAGCATCATATTATAGATATATCTTATTTACTTTCCATCAAAACATTAAAGCAGTATTTTATAGTCATAAAATATCGTTTCACAATAATAGACTTTTTTAGTTCACGATGATAAAAAACAGAATATATAAATAGTTTAGCAAATAAAAAAACTTATATCTCACAAGAATAGTTCAATATTAGCGATATTGATTTATCAACAATACTCATAACAATAATACAAAAAAAAAAACATTAGGGACAACGCACCTCAGCAACAGGGAGTATCATTTCTGTCGTGACCTACATTGAAGCATTATCTATTTTGAGTGCTTGTGTATAAAGTCCCTCTGAGGTTTACTTACTCGTTCTCTCGTTTGTGTAACAATTGTTATTTCTCTGCGGTTGAAGGCTGGAGGGTCGTATGCTTATGCTTTAGCAGACAAGTAGCATTACAATAAGGTGTGTGTGAGTATGTGTGTGTGTGTGTGTCTTTGTATCCTAGTTGTTGTTTTTGTAGGGTTTAACACCATTATCTTAGCACCAGGTAGGTTAAACATGTCGGCCAATATCAATGGTGGAAAAGAACCTGGGAAAACCCCTGAAAGAACCACCGACCTTATATCCTAGTATTACCACTATAAATATTACTACAACTACTGCTACTACTACAAATATTAGTACTATCGCAACTACTACTACTATTACTGCTACTACTACGACGACGACTATTAGTAATATCACAAGAACAACTGTAGCCGCTACTATTACTGCTACTACTACTACCACTACTACTACTACTTATTATTATTATTATTATTATTATTATTATTATTATTATTATTATTATTATTATTATTATTATTATTATTATTATTATTATAAAAACAGTATGGATGTTTAAAGATGAATGAACAATTCTATTATTTCAATGTAATGAGTTTCTAGAAGTGACTGTATCTGACTGTCAAAAGCATATCATTACAAGAAAGTCTATACGGTGCCAAGGCAAATGGAGAATAAGAAAGATATTTTGTGAGAAGAGGTCTCGGTATCAGGGGCGTACCTAAAGCATTAGCCACAAATAATTCTAAAATCAAAACACACAGAAAAACTATTATATTTAAAATAGTACAGTACAGTCGTAAGCAAATTGTAACTAGCTTTTACTTTGGTGAATGTTTCATTTCATTTGAAAACTTGTACTGGTATTTTAACTCTCCCGATTGCCCTTCCCCCTTTCTGGCTGTCACCCAGGGCTGACCGCCCCCTCTCACACTCCTTAACACGCCACTGCTAGGTATGAGTATAGTTTTTTTTATCAGTGCATTTATGTTCAATAAATGTCAAGCGATTTAGATTATTACACGCCAAGATAATGTCTCGATTAGGAAATTAATGTAACATATTGTACTCAGATTAATGTAATTGTCTATGTGCACGGTAACACAGATTCACGGCAATTAGCAGTAATAATAATAATAATAATAATAATAATAATAATAATAATAATAATAATAATAATAATAATAATAATAATAATAATAGCTACTTACCAATGAAATGGAACTTTCAGCAATGGGCTATAAAACTCCTTTTGTAACCTAACAGCTAAAGAGGTACATATGTGCAGTGGAGTGAGCTTTCTGTCTAGTTATACATGTGCAGTCCTTTATATAATGCAAATATATTAACTTCCTCGTTCTCTCGGGTCACTGTCGAAGATCTTTTTTATTTATGGCGGTTGGAAGCTGTAGGGTCGAATGATTTTGAGAATCGTTCGTCTTGCGTGAAAAGGGTAATCTCTCTCTCTCTCTCTCTCTCTCTCTCTCTCTCTCTCTCTCTCTCTCTCTCTCTCTCTCTCTCTCTCTCTCTCTCTCTCTCTCTCTCTCTCTCTCTCTGATATATAATATTCAAATATAAAGAATAAAAAGGAAGAATGGTATCTTCAAGTGCCAAGTGTCCATTTGTATTCATTACAATAGAATGCAATAACACAGTAGCAAGGCATGATACTGGTTCAATATTATTTTTTATGTTTATATTTGTGAGAATTTTTTTCCACAATGTACAGTGGACTTTGATCTGTATCGCTTTGTTCAAGTGAATGAGTTCCCTTAATTTTATCGCTCTTAACGCACACCCCGCTAGTGGCCTGGTGGTTAGAGCGTCCGCCTCGAATGCGGGAGGTCGCGGATTCAATCCCCGGCCTAATTATACCAAAGACTTTTAAAAAAGGTACTAACAGCTGCCTCGCTTAGCGCTCAGCATTAAGAGGTCAGTGTTAGGACTAATTGGCCTGGTGTCAGGATAATGTGACTGGGACATCATGCTACATGTCTGCGGCAAAATGTCTCAGTGCTAGACATCACTATAAACTGTTACGCTGAAAACATCGTAGCGATATGACTGACATTTTTTAAAACTACGTTAAAAATCAAAATCCGACACACGCACGCAAGCCAGAGTTGTCAGTGTAGTTTTCGTCGGCGGATCTAAGTCGACGTAGATACACACCAAGTGTGTGTAATACACAAAATCGAATATAATTTGCCATATACATCAATATCTTGGATAAAAGCAAAGTAAAATGAGTGAACTTGCAAGTTATCTACTCCTGTTAGATTTAAAATAACGTATGTTATGACATGCTATTCAAATGAAGAGGGAATTTTCATTAAATAAAATAATAATAATAATAATAATAATAATAATAATAATAATAATAATAATAATAATAATAATAATAATAATAATAATGATGATGATGATGATGAAGAAGATGATGATGATGAAGAAGATGTCGATGAAGATGATGATTATAATGATGATGATATTACTACTACTACTACTGATAATGATGATGATGATGATGATGATGATGATGATGATGATGATGATGATAGAAACAAGAATGAAATACAAATGCTATTTTATCTACTTTATCGACTTTTGAAAATCTAATACAATCAAATTAGATGAAAAAACTTCGTGACAAAACCAGAACATAATATCGTGTGGCTTCTTGTGTAGTATCAACCATGCAACAAGGGAATTCCAGCTTATTTATTTTTTTAGCTTTCTTTTCTGATCTCTGTCGTCTTTGCCCCATAAGAACTACTTTTGAAGGAAGCAACTCTTGTCTTCTTCTGCTATACCTGTGGGAGTTGGTCTGAACTAATTACAAATACTTCAGCAAAATTTTAGAAATATTTTGTAAGAGAGAAACGAATATCTTCAAAAAATAGGTAAAATACAAATTATGCGTTTTTTTTTAGTTTTAGCTGGATTCCGACGCCTTAGTTTACGTTACGGATAAACGTCACTTACAACTTACAACTTATGGTGTTGCTGGACTTCCGCAGCCCATCCATGACATTTGTGGTTGCTATCCAAGTGTGCAACTACATATAGTTTTGCAAAGTTTCATGCAAGGCATAAGGACGTTTACAATCTATCTACTTCCCAAAAGTATGTTCAGCACTGCGCTGACGCGGTTGGGCTGTCGGGATAAGTGTTGAAAGAGTTTTTAGGGCTCTCTTGCGGTCCAGAAGTTGCGAACGTCATGATGTTACTGGACACCCGGTGGCTTCCACCAAATTGCCAACGTTCTACCTTCACTGCAAGCGAAAGATCAAAATGGTCCCGGAAGTATCGTGCTCCTCGCCAGAAGACGGCAGCCCGAAGAGGCCATCTAAACCGTGTGGATTCTGCATGTTACCTATATGACCTGGTACACTCGCACAACCAAAACTTCAACGACTGGCACAAGGCTCACGCACATCTGGTCCACAGCCTGAACGCCAGCCAGGGACTTCGGGCGGAATAAAAGGCCAAACTTGTTGTTGGCGGCATGAGACCATCAGACGGAGGGACTAACAAGTATGAGCGACAAAGGATACAGCTCTCGTGGTTATTGAAAAAGAGAGAGGCGGCAGCCAAAAGACTAATAACAATCGTCAAACCACTTTAGGAAGACAACAGGGAGTGGTTGAAAAGCAGGCCATGTGAAATATTTGTTTGACAGAACATGGGTGCATCGAACTACGCATCTGCCCCGAAACCAGGTGCACCAGACCAAGATATTACTTTTTCCGCATGATACATTGCACGTACAGTTAAGCAATTACTGTGGTGGACGGCGCAAGCGGCTACGAATCATTGAGAAGCAATCATGATCCATGGTACTCCGATGCAATGAGGTGGATCTACACGGAAAGATAACTCAGGTGGCCAAATCTGCAGCTGCATGACCATCAGTTGAAGTTTATGGGCGCCGTTTCACACCTGGCTGGGTAAAGCCGACGCCCAACAGCTGAAGAACATTGGAGAGCGCTTCAGTGGAACCATGGTTGAACGTCTGTTTGGGAACCATTACTCCCAGGAATTGTTGATTTTCGAAAGCCGAGTTGGCGAACGAAACGTCAATTGGGTTCGGTGAGTGCTGGTCGTGATAACTGCTCTGAACGGTGAGGTTACCCATCAGAGAGGCATGGTTCCTGCCAGCGCGCCAAGTAGCGCTTCACCTGGTGGATGGGACCCTCCGTACCACCGACCTCGTTCGGTTGTATACCGTTTCGACATTAACGGCCATCCCATGCGTATCATCATTTTGCACGTGGTACTCTGCGTCGACGCTTCGTTTCGAGGAGCTGAAAATTTTATCGACGGATACCCAGCTATTACCTGTGGATGTTCCCTCTTTGTTAGGAGCTCCTCGAAATATGCATTCGTCCCAACATGCAGCTGTTTCCTTGTTTTGAATTGAGCGTAGGCGCGTCCTGACTTTCTAAACATTGTGTTATATTCACATCCTGCATGTGTACTTCACACACGTGAAGGGAATTATTCCTATTGATATAGAGGAGTTTCTACGTCTCATTGGTAGATTTCCTATAGACGCACGTGATTGGAAATTCATTCCATATGAGCAAATGAACATCATCAGCGTTTATTGACGGGTTGTTAAATCGTTCGTCGAACAGCAAACTCTGTGGGAACAATTGGTAGTTACCTTGATCTTCCAGGTGGTGGTATTGGAGTTTTGACATATGCACACGTGATTCTGACCGAAAAAGAGCACAAACAATATATAAATTGCAATCTAGTTCAGCAAACTGATTTATGGAAGTTCGTCCAACGGCGGACTTTGCCGATATGCGAACCTGATCAGTATCACGACTTCGGAACTGTTTTAAGTCCAGTTAGTTCTTCCGAGGTTGGAATTGATACAGCAGTAGTCAAGATTACTAATGAAACCAGGCTACCAGTATCAGGGAAATTTCCATGGGATGACAGCAAACCGCAGGTATCAGTTTACCATGAAATATACATTGTATCACAAACTTTTATGTTTTTGTGGGCGTACCATCAAAATGCGTATACCCCTCTATAAGAAAAGCTGGGGCTGTATAATCTATATGACACATGTCCTATCTTTCACATGTACAACGACATTCTGGCTCTTTTCTTAAACATTTTTCACAGAATGGTGTACGAATTAATTATGCCCTCAACGTTAAATTTTGATGTAAATATATGTCCGTGTAAATGGTCACTAATATCATTGAGACGGTCTTGAATAACAATTTCAATCAATTGTACTATGAAATTAACACAATGTTTTGCACATGGAAACGTTTCGGTCTCTGATCAAAGTTACTTATGCTAAACGTGTACATTGTTTCTAATTTTGTATTCTTGAATTTGTTTCAGCAGGTTACGGACCAGACTATCCCATGGAGATTTTAAGTGGAAATTTTTGCATCGGAATAAACCAGAATTACAAGGATGTGAAGTTGTCAAATTCGGAGCGACAACTGGTATAACGAGGGGTCTACTCGCCCTCACATCATTATACGCCAAACGGTCACATGTACCCGACCTTGCCTTCAAAGACGCAATGTATAAACCAAATGTAAGTCTAACCACTGTGAGGGTGGGTTTGATGGATTTGCACAGAAAGGTGATTCTGGTTCACTTGTACTTATGGCACATAGAGAAAACCGGACAAATTTAGTCGCAGTTGGTATGGTAGTTGGTGGCACCACTGCAAATACTACGGTTATGACTCCAATATTGAACATCCTTAGGGAATTCCATTTGCCCACCATGTGTTTTAAGATATTCCGACACTCGCCGCAACCGGAAGAAATGATATTCCTAGCAGATCTCAAGAGGGAGCAAAGCAAACAGGGAAAAGAAATAATGCAGTTGAGGCAACATATTCAAGAGCACATAAAGGATCAAAAGAAACAGAGCAACAACAAAGAAGGGAGCAACAGAAGCTGAGTCAGAGATTCATAGTTGTAGTCGAAGGCCTAAAAAGTGTTAAGGCAAAAACGAACAAGATGATCCAAAACATTAATAAACAGTTGAGTGTGAAACTATAACAGAAAAAATAACAAATTATTTCTTAAACAAAATATGGATATAAACATAAGCTGAGCACCTTGTGTGCTATATAAAATAGAAAATTAGAAAAGTATACAATTTTAAAGTATTCACATTTTGATTGTAACGTGTAAATCAATTACCTGGATTTTAAATATGAGTCGTTAAGTTGGACGGAGGACTATGAGTTCTTTATGGAAGCTAAGGATAATTAAAGACAAATTAATTTCAAACATGATAACATATTTATATTACACCGATTGATAAGTCATTATAGTACAAGAAGGTAAAATAATTGCTTTGCGCTTTGCCGAAATTGCTGAAACATTTGATTGTATTATAATGGATGCAACAATACCTTTTTTGACGACTTTGCCCGTGAGGGTGTTTGTTGTCTAGCTAATTTTCCATGTTTATTAATGACATTGAAAAGGAATTTTTTAAAATGCGGTGTTTAAGATGTTGAGATAGGTATGTTACTACTGTTAGTGATTTTATGTGCAGATAATCTAGCTTTGTCAGAAGTCAAAAATTGGTCGGCGGAAGGGCCTACATGCCTTTGTACATATTGGAATAAGTAGCGCCATACTGCTAATACAAACAACGAATCTTGTCTATATGCAAGGGACAACAATAGCATATAATAATTTGTTCCTCTATATAGGTTCATATTTAGAGGCTGTTAATAAAATTGCCTTTCTTAGAAATGTTTTTATAACAGAAGATTGTCAAATATGCTCAACAGATTTTGGGCGTACAAGCTTTCGAAGGCAGGATTTGTATCTGATAAATATTTACAAAGGTTTGGAAAATAAGACCTGTAATTTCT